ATATATGTATATAAATCATTTTATTTTATTATAATAATTCTAGTCCTTTTAAATATATCTATTCTTTAATTCTTTTCAATATTTAATTAAATCAATATATAATAAAAATTTATAAAACGTTTTAAAAAGTTATTTTATTTACAATATTCCATATTATTGCGTAAACAATTTTTTTATTTAAACAATTAATAAATTAAATCGTTTGGATGTTTATACGATTTTGAATAGACACTTCGGGATATATGATCTGATTTATATCTTAATTTTTTGCTAGCTTTAGCTCTAGTGATTTAATGTGTGATTTAATTTTTTCTATGTTGAATAGCAAAGTTCAAAATATATTTTTATTAAGAGAGAAATAGTCTGTTTTCTGTGGTTAAACTAGTATACATTTTTAGAATTTAAAATGAGATAGATATATGTATGATATTTGGCGAAAGCGAGAAAAAGAGTTTAGTATAGTTTTAGTACAGAAATAAAACAGACCTAAAATATTTTTCAAGTTCGACTACATTAAATTTTGACACATTTATAAAAAGGTAATTTTATACTTGCGCATTATAAAAAGGAGTCATTAGATCTGTTAAATAAAATTATTTAAACTTGTGAGTCTTATATGAAAGAGATATATAAATAAGAAAGAGACATGAAAGAGACTTATATGAAAGAGACTTATAGATTCTATTATAAGTCAAAACTAATTTGATTCATTAGAATTTTTCTATGTATCTCTTATAATAAATCATTAGTCATAAATTAGAAGTCAGAAGCTAAAAATTGACGACTGTGATTGGTCAATTTTTAGTTTCTGACTTCTGTTTTGACTTATATTAGAATTTATCTATATATCTTTTTCATATAAGACTCACAAGTTTATTGTAGAAGGTCCATTAGAGATACACGAGATTTACTCGTTAAAAATTTTATTTGATAGACGTAACGACTGCTTTTTGTGTTCAATTATATAACACATAAGTATGTAACGTTGCTTTGTATGTTTGTATACAAAATATAATATATAAATAGATCACAATAAAATAAAATGTCATATTAATCGTATTATTTTCTATTTTTCTTATTCTTTTTACTTTTTGTCAGAATAAATTGAAAATATGTGATATACGGATATGCTAGTATAGCTCTCGAATTACTTTAGTTGTGATGATATATATAATGTTTATTACATCTATCACGTGGAATATTACGTGTCACTAATGTAAAGATCGCATTACAAAAGTCAGATATACATTTATACACATTTATTTTATATATAATGATTTGAACAATTAAATATCATGATCAATAACAAAGCAATTAATTTTTCTTATTTATTCAATAAAAATTATTTTAATTTTCTTGATTTTTGTTCTGTTCAATTTGTAAATATACCAAGTATGGAGCTAATTCAGATTTTACTTGAAAATGGGTATTCTCTTTTATCTTTTCGTCAATATAGATAAGAATTAAATATTACTGCAATAAAACTATCAATCATATTAAACAAAATAATTAATTTAAATTATAGAAACTGAATCGCCATCAGTAATTTGAGTAATTTCTACCATATTATGTATGATGATAATTTTAAATGGGATGAAGTTAAGATTTTGGACAATGAATCATTTTATAATAAAAGACTGATTTTGGAAATATAATATCTACCTACAAAAAAAACAACAACATCGATTGAATAAACAAAATGACATAAATCTCTTTCTGACGTTTATCTCCCTATTTTGCAATTGTAATTACCCTCTTGATTTTTCTCTTTTTTTCTGTTTACTTACGTTTTTCCTCTTTTTATGATTATACTCCTTTTTTTGTTGTATCATTTGTTATTTTGCCTTTTATGTTTGACGAACTTTATTGGTTAGTTGAATAAATCAAGTTGATTGAATAATTTTCAATCATTATTATTTAAAAAAAATGACTCCATTTACATTACTACTGTTCATTATTATGGAAAAAATTATGGAGGATTTGCAGTTTTTTAGAATGTCAGAAGAGAGAAGTAGTGTTTTATCTCTACAGACTATTATTTTAAATTTGACGAACATGAGTGATGTTACGTTTTATTATTTCCTATTATGGTTTAATTGTAAGTTTATCTGTATTGAAGATCTAGTAGTTTGAAACATTTCGAATTGTATTTTAATTAGATTTATTTTAATTAGATGTATTTATTAGATTTATTTTAATTAGAATTAATTATTTTAACTAGAATTATTAAAAACTAGAATTATTAAATATATAAAAACTTTTAATTATTAACAATTAACAACCAACTTTGATTCAGCTTTTTACTTTTTTTTATTGTTTTTATGTTAATAAATTTTTTCTTACACGTCACTGCATAAATGTAAAATAAATAGAGGAAAAAACTAAGAACAATAAAGTTCAGAACGCAATGACTCATATCGACATACGTATTGCATATATTACTTTGTTTATCTTTTTATCAGTTTTTAATAGATTCGTATGAATCTACTTCATATGAATCTTAAAAATGAGTGCTTAATACATTTTACTTGTTCTTTTCTCTGCATAAATAAA